TGTGGACGGTGGCACTGGGGTTTTCGGTGGGGTTCCCTATGGGGCCACGAAGCGCTGTACTGAGTGGGGGGGGACGCATGTGAGCGGTGGCACTGGGGCCTTCGGTGGAGCTCCCTATGGGGCCACGAAGCGCTGTACTGAGTCGGTGAAACGCAGGGCGGAGGAAGGAGGGCCACGAAACGCTGTACTGGGCGGGGGGGACGCATGCGGACGGCAGACCTGGAATCTTCGGTGGAGCTCCCTATGGGGCCACGAAACGGTGTACTGCGCGGGTGAAACGCAGGAGGAGGGGGAGGAGGGCCACGAAACGCTGTACTGGGTGGGGGGGGGGGCGCATGTGGACGGTGGCACTGGGGCCTTCGGTTGAGCCGAGACTTCCCCAGCAATGCAAGGCAATGGCGAACAGAAAACATTTCGATATAGGTTTTAGATAGGTTCAAAAGTAGGTTCGGGAGATAGGTTCGCAAGCATAGTAGGTCCCAGGAAGAAGGTGCAACGCGCGGGGAAAACGTGTCATCGGGCAGATAGCCTCCCGTTACTGGGTTTGCCAAAGCGCGTCGGCGCAAATGCCGCGGGCAGCTAAGTTGGCGAAGCGAATTCGCCAAACTAGCCCTGGCGAGTGCACCCGGGGACGTTCCCTGGCCGCGGTAACCTCGCCAAGAAGGTTTGCAATGAAAAACGGCGTCAGGGCTGCATTTCAGGCAGGGGCCGCGACACGTTTCGCGCGATGCACCCTCGGGCACTAAACATAGAAAATTAACGAGAGCGGCTGCGGAGAAGACCTCCGAAAACACGACCCGCCAGAAAAGCAGTCACGACGATGGGCGACCCAAAAATCAATTGGGGCAGCCCCGGCAACTGGCACGGCGAACAACGCAACTCAAGGAATCCCGGACAAGCCGGGCCGCCACCAACAATCACCCCGTACCAATACCGTGCCCCGGCGGGGTTCGGACACGCCATGGCTCCTCCTCATTATCACGGCCGCCCCGCCCAAGGTCATTCTGCCCTCCCCAAAGCCACTCGTTATCAATCACATCATGCTTCCCATCATCGCCCCCCTTGCCTCACCATCCTCCCCCTCGTCAGCCGCAGCATCCACGTTCTCATCCTCCTGCCCCCGATCCTCCCCGCCCTCCCCGCCCCCCCCTCCTCCTCCTCCTCCTCCTCCTCCCCCCCCTCCTCCTCCTCCCCCTCATATTCCCCATCTTGTTCCTACCTTTTCCCCCTCATCCCCCCTTCATCCGCCCCTCATCCTCCGCCCGATCCTCCGGGTCCTCTTGGTCCTCCTCCTCCTACTCCTCTCTCCTGTTCCTCCTTCCTCCTGGCCCTCCGTTTCCTCGACCTGGCTCTCCTCCTCCTCCTCCTCTCTTCTTCCTCCTCCACATCCTCCTCCCGGCTCTCCTCATCCACCTCCTCCTCCTCCTCCTCTCCCATTCCTCTTCCTCCTCCTCCTCCTCCCCCACATTCTCCTCCACCTCCTCCTCCTCCTACCTTCAATCCCTGACCTTCCATGCTTCCGAAAACAGTTTGAAGTAGGTTTGAAATAGGTTTGAAGTAGGTTTGAAGTAGGTTCGAAGTAGGTTTGAAGTAGGTTTGAAGTAGGTTTGAAGTAGGTTTGAAGTAGGTTTGAAGTAGGTTTGAAGTAGGTTTGAAACCTACTTTGAGGCCTCCGAAACCTACTTTGAGGCTCCTAAAACCTATTTTGAAGCCTCCGAAACCTACTTTGCGCTACCGAAAACCTACTTTTGGAATCCGGAAACCTTCTTTGGAACCTACTTTGCAAAAACAAATTCTGCAAACCTACTTTCCGACCTACTTTGGGGGCGCGGTTCCTTGAAACATCAGCACACGCTTGCCCGAGCCTTTCCCAGAAGTCGCCCCCGGGGGCGGCGCGCCAAAAAAGGAATCTGCGAAGTACCCCCAGAAGGTGAGCAAACCCAAAACACTTGTAGGTTGCCCCCGACAGGCGGGAGCCCCCCAAAGGGGGCGGTCTCCCCCCCCCCCCGAGGGTCGAGGATCGAGCGCGATTTCGCTGTCGGGCGACAAGCGAACGTACCGCGACAGGACAGGGCCTTTTGGCAGCCCCCCCGCTGGCGGGCAGGGGGCCGCCGCCTGGCGCCCTAGGTTCTTCAGAAACCAAACCTGATGCGGCCGCCCCCCGCCCCCCGGGGCCCCTCCGGGCCCGGCCCGACGGAGGCGCCACTCCCCTTCCGTTTCTCTTTCCTCCTCCCACCTCTCTCCACCTCCTCTCCTCTTCCACGCGCCCTCATTATTCCAGCCTCCCTCCACCTCCTCCCCCCGGAAACGCCACCTCCCCCCTACCCGCCTTCTGGAGCCCCCCACCCTCCCGTTTCTGACCTTCTTAACCTTCCTGGTCCTCCCTCTCGCCCCCCCCCCCTCCCCCTTGCTCGGGCCCGCGGCCCTCGCCCCGCCCTCCATGCCCCACTTCCCGCTGTGGTCAGACCAAGGGGGAAACGCAGTGCCCCCAGATCTCAGGACGGAGGTGGTTTAGAGCGCTTCCTGTTCCAACAACCCCCAGTCTTCCCTTCGGGGATGGATGCGCCCCTCCCCCCCCCTCCTTCCGGGGCCTGCAATGGGGGGCGGCGGATCGGTGGAGCGCCCGGGACGGTCAAAGATAGAGCCGGCATGACCTCGCAGAATGCAACGCGGTCTCACAGATGGTTCAAGATAGCCCAAGATGGATCAACATTGTTTCCCGCATGCTCCAAGAAACCCAAATACCGCTCCGAGACCGCCCCAAGCGGCCGCGGAGCCACCCAATAACACCCCCGAGAAGCCGAAATCTTTCCAAATCGTACGAGACACGAATGAATTGGGCCTTTTGGTCCATGCGCTTCCGAAGACTTTGGAAGCCTGAAGATAAGCCCCGAAGGAGTCCAGAAGAACCCAAGACAGCGCACTTCACGAATTACTCGGCTGGCTTGCTAGCAGAAGCCGCGCCTTGCCGGCGGCATTCCAGCATTTCCCCGAGAAGCTTGTTTGGAAAATATCATTACTGACCCGATCCCGACAAGTTACTTTTGATATTGTGTTCCCGACAACCTTTCCTGGAAAGCTACTTTTGCACATGAATGTCGCATTCCTTTCCCCTGAAAGTTTCTCGCGGCAATCGGTTTCGCCATCCTTTCCCTTCGAGTTACCTGCGCCGACCACTGTTGCCAGGCGCGCTGCAGACCTACTTCGCCGACCTACTTCAGGAGCTACTCTAAACCTACTTCATTTGTTTTGCGCCTCAAGCAAGCCCTGCATTCAAAGGGAAGTCTCGGCGGTTGAGCTCCCCACTGGGCCACGAAACGTGTGAGGGGTGTACCGAAATGGGTGTTGGGGACGCATGTGGACGGTGGCATTGGGGCCTTCGGTGGAGCTCCCTCTTGGGCCACCAAACGTGTGAGGGGTGTGCCGACGTGGGTGCGGGGGACGCATGTGGACGGTGGCACTGCGGCCTTCGGTGGAGCTCCCTATTGGGCCACGAAGCGTGTGAGGGTGCGCCGAAATGGGTGTGGGGGACGCATGTGGACGGTGGCACTGGGGCCTTCGGTGGAGCTTACTATGGGGCCACGAAACGTGTGAAGGGTGTGCCGACATGGGTGTGGGGGACGCACGTGGCCGGTAGCATTTTGGCCTTCGGAGGAGCTCCCTATGGGGCCACGAGACGCTGTACTGGGTGGGTGAAACGCAGGGAGGAGGAAGGAGGGGGAGGAGGAGAGGAGAGGAGAAGGAGAGGAGGAGAGGAGGAGGAACGCGGGGACCGTCTCTTCGATAAAAAGACCCAACAACACAGGTGGGTTGGGAAATAAAAAATCCCCCAAAACATTCGAAAATCAAAAACCTCGAAAACCAATCGAAACGGCAATTCAGATGTCACCCTTCGCCCTCCACCCACAAAAAATGTTCGGGGATTGCCCGGCCGCCCGCGGGTCGCCCAAGTGGCCAGGGCCCGCTGCCCACTTGCCAAGCAGCGCAACGCAAGGCAGAACAGGGCACCGCCAAGCAGCGCAGAGCAAAGCAGAACATAGCAATGCCAAGCAACGCAAGTCAACGCCAGAAATAAAAATGCCCGGCAACGCAATGCCGCGCGAAGCAACTCAACGCAATGCCAAGGTAACGTCGAGCAACGCCAACAAATGCCAAGCCAAACAATACCCAACAGCGCAAGGCAATGCCCAATCAAAGCAACGCGAAGCAACGCCAAGTGCTGCAAAACAACGCAAACCAACCAAACGCAACGCCAAGCAATGCAAAGCAGCGCAAAGCATGCCATTCCTTGGTGAGCTGCTTCCCTTTGGAACGCAAATTGGGGCCGCGCCAAGTTCACATTTTCCATCGTGCTCGGAAGCTGTCGACGACATGGCAGGTGGCGCCGTTAGGGCCGACCTACCACTGTAAGCCCGAAGCAACTTCGGCGTTCCAAATCCTGGAAATCAGTTCGCACGCGCGGGCAAAGCGCGCAGCTATCCACGCGTCTGCACTCCATCGCAAACGCTCCTCAGGAATTTAGCACCTGTCAGCTTCGGATCAAGCGGACACGCCCCGCACTCACTCCGACGACGGGGGCCGGATCGGACCTCGGCGCAGGGCGCGACGGTCTTCAGGGGCACAGCCCCACCTTGTGCACAAGGCCAATCTCGCGCAGACGGCCGATGGGCTTGTCGCGGTCGCCGTTGCTGTGGTCGCAGAACCCCGAGCAGCACTTGCTGTCAATGATGCACAGCTTGCCCTTGGACTTGCAACCGCCCTCCTCCTCGTCGGAGGCTCCGCCCTTGGTCGCGCCACCCTCGGACTCATCCGTCTGCGCGAGACTGGCCCCGTCAGAGCAGATGGGGGTACATGAACCCAGCGATCGCGGAGCAGTGCCCCGAGCAGCACTTTTGGTCTGCGTTGCACCGCCTGCCGTTGGACTTGCAGCCGCCCTCCTCCTGGTCCGAATCGCCGCCCTTCGTCGCGAGGGAGGCCCTGAGCTGCGCGAGCCCCGCCTCGTCGCACCCGCCCGCGGCCTCGCAGGACTCCGCCTCCCGCGAGGCCGGCACGCCCCGCAGGAGCAGGGCCAGCCCGAGCAGCCCGGCCAGCGCCATGGGCCCTGGAGCGCGTGGGGCGTCGAAACTTACGCTCTGGCCGTAACTCGCGGCCTCCTGAATGGGTTGGGCGTCGATGGGGCCCGAGGATCGCGCCGCATCGGCGAGGCATCGGTGATGCATCGGCGATGCATCGGCGATGCATCGGCGATGCACCAGCGATGCATCGTCGACGTCGGCGGTGCATAGGCGACGTCGGCGTGAAGCAAATCGGGCTCAACATCGAGACGCATCGGCAATGCATCGGCGATGCGGCGCGATCCTCCGACCTCATCTACCCCGACCCCACCTGGGAGGCCTGGAGAAACCGAACACTGGATCCGAAATGGCTCGAGCCAAAGCCGGGAACTGACACCGCCCCTCCTAGTTGAGCAGGGACCGACCGTCCCGGCATTCCTATAGGCCTACCCCGAAATGTTCTTAGAACCCGAAAATGTTCTAAGAACGCAAACAATTGTCTTAGAACATAGACCCAGTGTCAAAACAAGAAAGTCCCCACCAGAGATGCTCGAAGAACACGTCGTGCAGTCCACAAAAAGGTTCTCAGAACATCCTTTGGCAGGCCTGTGGGCAAGCTAGGACGCTTCGCCACTGCTTGACCCGGGCATCCCTGCACGCACGGGCGCCGGCGGTGGAGGAGGAGGATGGAGGAGGAGGAGGAGGAGGAGGAGGAGGAGGAGGAGGAGGCTGAGGAGGGGAGGAGGAGGGAGGAGGAGGAGGAGGAGGAGAGGAGGAGGAGGAGGAGGAGGAGTAGAGGAGGAGAGGGGAGGAGGAGGGGAGGAGGAGGAGGAGGAGGAGGAGGAGGAGGAGGAGGAGGAGCAGGAGAAGGAGAAGGAGGAGCAGGAGGAGGAGAAGGAGGAGGAGGAGGAGGGGCAGCGCCCCGCCACTCGCGAGTAGCGCGGCTCGCCTCGCGCCCTCGTGCGCCGCGGAGTGGAGAAGGCCGCCTCGGCGGCCCCAGCCGCGGCGCACGAGCAGCGGACCCCTTCACGCCCCTGGGGGGTGGCCCAGAGTTGGGTCGGGCATGTCACCCTGCGGGCAGATCTTCGACGGAATTATCCCGGCGAAGGACCCAACCATATGCAGTTGTGGGCACCGCAATTGTGAACATCTTCTTCGGTGACACTCTCTATGGGGCCACGAAACGCTGCACTGGGTGGGGGGGGAACGCTGTTCTGGGTGAGTGGTGTGTCAAGTAAGGTTTCCAGGACGCATGCAGACGGTCCCTCTGGGTGCTTCGGTGGAGTTCCCTATGGGGCCACGAAGCGCTTCACTGGGTGAGTGAAAATGCCAAATTGGGCTTCGCGCGCGCATGCGGACGGTCCCTCTGAAGGCTTCGGTGGAACTCCGTATGGGGCCACGAAACGCTTTACTGGGTGGGTGAAAATGCCAAATTGGGCTTCCAGGGCGCATGCGGACGGTCCCACTGAGGGCTTCGGTGGAGCTCACTAAAAGGCACTGGGGCCTTCGGTCAAGTTCCCTACGGGGCCACGGAATTCTGAACTGGGTGGGTGAAAATGCCACAATGGGTGTTTCGGGACGCTTGCGGACAGTCCCACTGGGGCCTTCGGTGGAGCTCCCTGTGGGGCCACGAAACGCTGCACTGGGTGGGTGAAAATGCCACATTGGGTGTGCGGGAGGCATGCGGACGGTGGCACTAGGGCCTTCGGTGGAGCTCCCTGTGGGGCCACGAAACGCTGTAATGGGTGGGTGAAAATGCCAAATTTGGTGTTTCAGGACGCACTCGGACAGTCCCACTGGGGTCTTCGGTGGAGCCCCCTATGTGGCCACGAAGCGCTGTACTGAGTGGGGGGGGCGCATGTGGACGGTAGCACTGTGACCTTCGGTGGGGCTCCCTATGGGGCCACGGAAAGCTGCACCGAGTGGGGGGGGCGCATGTGGACGGTGGCACTGGGGCCTTCGGTGGAGCTCCCTATGGGGCCACGAAACGCTGTACTGAGTGGGGGGGGCGCATGTGGACGGTGGCGCTCTCCTCTCCAAGATGACCCCCGAGACCGCCAGCAGTCTCCCCAAGGGCCTCCCAGAAATCCTAGTAGGCAAGATGGCCAGATCACGCCGCAAGAGGCTCCCAAGGAGCCCCGAGAGGCCCCAAACTATATCTAACACAGCCTCCAAGATGCTGCCGAGAGACCTCTCAAAAGACCCCCACATGCATCCAGGAGGCCCCCCCACATACAATCTAGGCAAGGTGGCGGGATGGGCCGAGACTACTAGATATGTCAGCCAGTGAGGACCTCCACATGTGAGCTATTGCGCTGCCGAGATGAAAGCTATGTGATGTCAGCTATATGGTGTAAGATACGTTGTGTTCGTTTTCGGAGTGATATATGTTGTGTCAGCTATGTGCTCCAAAGTGGGCATAGTACTCTTCCTGGGAACCCCGCAC